TTAGTTGAATTTGTTAACTAGTTAGACACTTTAGTTAATTGCGTTTATTCTGTAACAAAGCGTTGCTATAAGATGCTGGCTGGACAGTGGTGTTCCCCCACAATCTGGGGCTTCTGTAGCAACCGCGTTAGTTCATTCATACTATACGTGTCAATATCAATAAAAAAAAATAAAAATAAAGAAGATATATTTTTGTGTAGTTTATTGTTTTTTATAATGAAAAATATAAAAACCAAAACAAAATATATAAAAATTAAAGAAAAAAATTTAATAGATTTTGTCAAGAGTAGATAATAACACTAGATAATAACACTGTGTGTTATCTACTCTTGATTTTGTGTATATTATTGGCCTTTTGACCATTAATCACCCTCCGGAGAATGCCAGCAGGATTGTAACATAACTCTGAGGTGAGCGGGCAGTAGCAATTTGCTTCATGCACGGTCGCATTGGTCATTAGCCAGGCAACCCAAGTGCACTTGGAGCTGGAGGCACCTGTTGGATTTACACAATTACAAACATTTATATTATATTTATGCCTTAAAGAGAGAGAAAGAGAGAAGGAGAGAGACAAAGGGGGGAGAGAGAGAGAGGAGGAGGAGAGAGAGAGAGTATAGCACTACAAGAGGAAGCGACCACGTATCCGCATTTAGGAGTGATGGGAAGACACGTTCCCACACCCCGGCGAAGGACTAATGACTTGCGACTCGTTACATTTACGGGGTTCATGTGACAGGGTGGCACTCCGACGGCTAAGCTACAATTATCATAGGTATTGGCTGCTGATATTCGCTGTCGGCTCGCATGCGCGTCCTCACGTCAATTAGTATAGTATAGCTCTAATAGGGCGAGGTTTCGTACCCGCTGAGTGCGTGTGCTTCTGCGTATGTGTGTAGGATAACGAGGTTTCGTTGGTGCGGGACTGCATGCGTTCGTGTGTGGGTGCGTGCGTGCGTGTGTGGGTGCGTGCGTACGTGCGTATGTGCGTTCAAACTAAAGCCGGGCAGGCTGACAGCACGTGTGCATGGTAAAATCTGATCTACATGCTTCACTTCGCTCGCAGCATCGCGCCACGATTCCCAGCTATGCTAATGTAAGGGCAAATGGCACTGCAACGTCAGTCGCCGTTGACTGCCAAGATAATGATTCTTCGGCCTTTCTTATACGTTCAAACTGGAGCCGGACAATGCTGACAGCACGTGTGCATGGTAAAATCTTATCTATATGCTTTACTTCGTTCGCAGCATCGCGCCACGATTCCCAGCTATGCTAATGTATGGGCAAATAGCGCTGCGACATCGGTCGCCGTTGACTGACAAGATAATATTCTTCGGCCATTCTTATACGTTCAAACTGGAGCCGGGCAGGCTGACAGCACGTGTGCATGGTAAAATCAGATCTACATGCTTCACTTCGCTCGCAGCATCGCGCCACGATTTCCAGCTATGCTAATGTATGGGCAAATGGCGCTGCGACGTTGGTCGCCGTTGCAGGGGCGTGTACAGGCGGGGGGAAGGGGGTTTCAGGGGGTCCGGACCCCCCCTGCTCGCGCAGAAAACGCATTTAAGGTGGTCTAATTTCAGCCCCCCCTTCGCGTGCTCGCAAGTTTGGATAACGGTTAGACCCCCCCCCCCCCCGGTACAAATCCTGTACACGCCCCTGGATGGGAAATGACAACGTTGCATCTTCACCGATGAGGAAAAGAACATAATCTTTCAAGACTGCCACGATTCAGAGCATGGGGGCCACATGGGAATATACAAAACTTTGCAGAAGGTAACTAGTAGGAATTATTGGTACGGGATGGGATCGGATCTAACTAACAGAATTAAATCATGTGATAAATGCCAAAAAATTGAAAAGATAAAAACAGTTACGCCTGAGCTTCATCCGATAATAACTACCCGGCCTTGGCAAATCGTTGGAGCTGATCTCATTGGTCCCCTTTCAGAAACGAGTAATGGTTTCAAATATGTTCTTACAATGACAGATATTTTTTACAAAATATGTGGTTGCTCTCCCCTTTAAAAGTAAAGAAGCAGAAGGCGTCTGTAATTCTTACACAAAAATATTCCACCTATATGGCCCACCAGAATAATTACTGACCAAGGCAGAGAATTTGTTAATTCAATAAATGGATTATTGTTTTTAAAATTCAACATAAAACACCTCATCACCTCGGCTTACCACCAGCAGACGAATGGACATCCTGTCGAAGCAAACTAATCAAACAATTAAACGAGCACTAAGCAAACTGTCAAATGAGAATAAAAATAACTGGGACATACTACTTGAGCCCATTACTTATAGCATAAATACATCTCAACAAGCCTCAACAAAGTTCTCCCCTTTTTATCTTATGTTTGGGAGAGAGCCAAAGCTATTAGTCCAGTTGCCAAAATGTTGACCCTGCAATGTTAATTACTTTGAACTTTTTTCATGGAAATGTGTTCTATATAGTTAGGA